CCCCCCCCCCCCACTGCCGTCCCCCTGTAGATCACCAGCTCCCTGATGGATCACCAGCTCCCCAATTGCAGTCACCCTCTGGATCACTACATTTCTACTTCCTTATAACAGCCTGAGGTCCTGCTTTACTCCTCACTGACTGGCTGTTGCAATCTGTGCAGGATTTGGGCATAACATTCCATTCCGTTCAGGTCCGCATCACTGAGGGGGTCAACTGAACTGTGCAATGTTTTTGTAAGAGTAGATGCACAGTGCCCCCACAGTGGCCTGTTTGTTAGATGTTGATGAGGTGAAGCTTTTATTCTTCCATACCTTTGGTTTAACAGCTCGGGTTTGAATTGCTGACAACAGTTCTGTTGCTTTGCTGCATTGTACTGTCTCCACATTCATGATGGCCCTGTTTCTCCCCATATTTTTAGTTTAAGCTTCAAGCGGATTTGCCACCGGTGGAAGAGTATGTCTGCCCTGGACCTACTTGGTCACTTCCGGAAAGGGTAATGCATTGTTTCTCTCCTTCATTCCTAACAAATATCCATAAGGATTTGAAAACTCCACTGGAACTGTATTTCATGTGGGACAGTCTTAGATTTAGAAAGAAAAATGTCTTGTGTGATTGCAACAGAGACTTCACATCTCAAGCACTTGACAATGTCTTCAACCTTCAACATGGTTGACCACACCATTCTGCTGTAGTACTTCATGACTGGGGTGGTACTTCTATCCTCTGACTCCTTTATTATCCATTTACCTGTAGTCCAAATATCACCTGTAATAGCTTCACCTTGTGCTCCCGCACCATTACCTTCTGTATTCTCTCAAGGATCTACTGATGATCCCCTCTCTGTTTCTCATCAACGTGTTGTCCCTTACAATCTAAAGGCACGGCATTTGTTTTCATGTACATTGAGGATACTCAGATATATCTCATTCCCACTTCTCCTGACTTCCACACTGTCTATAAATGATCAGACTACCTATCCAATATTCAGGACTGGATGAGGAGACATTTCCTCCAGTTAAATATTGGAAGACTGTCATTTGTTTTCAGTGTTTCCAGTCTTTGTTCCCTAACTTATGACCTGCTCCATCCTCCCTCCATTCCTCTCCCTTGTAGCAGTCTGAGGTGAAACCACAAAGTTGATAAATTTAACTGCAAGCTGAGGGTTTCAAATTCATCAATGCAGTACTATTCCCACTTCTGCCCCGTGTCCCAATTTTGTCCGTGCCAGCTTATCTGCTGCTGAAATTCTCACTCGTGCCTTTGTTACCTCTAGACTCAACTATTACCAGGCAGCCTCCCACTATCTACCTACCATAAAATTGAGTAAACGTAAAGTCATTCAAACTGTGCATGTCTCAACTTGCAGCCAGTTCTCCTAGTACGCTATGCTTACTGACCTACACTAAGTCCTCATCAACCAAAGTCTCGATTTTAAAATTCTCTTCCTTGTTTTCAAATGTCTTTGTGGCCTGTCTTGATAGTCACTATTTCTGCATCCTACTTCAACTCTACACCCCTTTGCAAAATCTCTGTTCCTCTAATTATGAACTCTTTTGGCTTTTCCTTTAATCCATCTACAATATTTTCCACCACTCCCTGTGGTGGCAAATTCCACAATCTTACTGTGCTATTGGTGGCCATGCCTTCAGTTGCCTGAGTGTTGTGCTCTAGAATTCCATCCACACACCTCTTTTTCCCCCCCTCCCACTCACTGCCTTGCTTTCAGACACTTTATAAAACTTACCTGTTTGCCAAGTGTTGGTTCACTGACCTAGTCTCTCTGAATGTGGACGAGTGTTAAATTTTGTGGAATGTTTCATTATGCTGAAGCCCTTAGATCCATAGAGATGTACAGCACAGAAGCAGATCCTTTAGTGCAACTTGTCCATGCTGACCAGGTATCCTAAATAAATCTAGTCTCATTTGCCAGCATTTGGCCCATATCCCTCTAAACCCTTCCTGTTCGTATATCCCTCCAGATGCCTTTTAAATGTTATAACAGCCTCTACCACTTTCTGTGGCAGCTCATTCCATACACGCACCACCCTCTACGTGAAAATGTTGCTCCTTAGATCCCTTTTAAGTCTATCCCCTCTTACCTTAAACCAATGCCATCTAGTTTAGGACTCCTCTACCCTGGGGAAAAGACCTTGGCTATTCACCCTATCTATGCCTCTCAAGACTTCATAAACCTCTATAAGGTCACTCTACAGCCTCCAATGTTTCAGGGAAAATAGCCCCAGCCTATTCAGCCTCTCCCTATAGCTCAAACCCTCCAACCCTGGGAGAATCCTCATAAATCTTTTCTGAACCCTTTCTAGTTTCACAACAGCCTTCCTATAGGAGGGAGACCAGAATTGCACGCAATTCTCCAAAAGTGGCCAAACCAATGCCCTATACAGCCCCATCATGACCTCCCAACTCCAATACTCAATGTACTGAGCAATCACCTTCTTCGCTATCCTAGCCACTTGCGACTCCACTTTCAAGGAACTATGAACCTGCACTCCAAGGTCTCTTTGTTCAGCAACGCTCCCCAGGAACTTACCATTAAGTGTATCAGTCCTGGCCTGATTTGCCTTTCCAAAATGCAGCACCTCATATTTATCTAAATTGAACTCCATCTGCCATTCATTGGCCCATTGGCCCACCTGATCAAGATCCTGTTGTACTCTGAGGTAACCCCCTTTGCTGACACCTCCAATTTTAGTGTCATCTCCAGAGTTACTAACCATACCTCCTATGTTCACATCCAAATCATTTACATAAATGACAAAAAGCAATGGACCCAGCACTGCTCCTTGTGGCACACTGCTGGTCACAGGCCTCCAGTCCAAAAAGCAACCCTCCACCACCACCCTCTGTCTCCTACCTTTGAGCCAGTTTTGTATCCAAATAGTTAGTTCTCCCTGTATTTCATGTGATCTAACATTGCTAACCAGTCTACCATGAGGAATGTCTTACTGAAATCCGAACAGATCACATCCACTGCTCTGCCCTCGCAATCCTCTTTGTTACTTCAAAAAACTTGTTAAACAATGTTGCCAAATTGAGTCACAAGTCTGAGGATTGGTGGGGAGAAAATCAGACAAAGGATGACCAAGGAATTGACAAAGAGAGAAACTAGAATGTTAGAGTAGGCTACCGAGTACTTTAGAAACAAATTAAAAGAATGTTTTGAATTATGTAGAAAGGAAGAGATTAGAGAAAGTAAACATGGATTCCTCAGAGGAAGAAACACATGGATTCTTAAAGGTGCAGGGCTGGATGAACACAGCAGGCCAAGCAGCATCAGCCTCTCTGCTCCTATGATGCTGCTTGGCCTGCTGTGTTCATCCAGCCCTGCACCTTGTTGTCTCGGATTCTCCAGCATCTGCAGTTCCTACTATCTTGGATTCTTAAAGGACTTGACAGGGTAAATGCTGAGAGGATGTTTCCCTCATGGGAGAGTCTAGGACCAGAGGGCATTGTCTCAGAATAAAGGGGTGTCAATTTAAGACTGAGATGAGGAGGAGTTTCTTCTCTCAGAAGGTTATCAGTGTTTGGAACTCTTTGTCACAGAGAGCAATGGGGGGCAGAGTCCTTGTGTATATTTAAGACTGAGATAGATTTTGGATCAGTCAGGGCATCAAGGGTTACAGGGAAAGGGCAGGAAAGTGGCTTTCAGGAGTGTTTGAACAGCCATGATCCTATTGAATGGTGGAGTAGGCTCAAGGGGCCAAATAGTATACTCCTGTTCTGATTTCTTACAGTCTTATGATTTTAACAGGAGTGATTGTAATGGGGAAGAAGGCAATGACAGAGATATTGAATAAATATCCTCTATCATCACAGTGAAAGGCATAGGGATCATGCCAGAATTTCTGGGAAACCAAGGATCTAATGACATTGATTAAAAAAATGTACTTAACATTTTTTAAGTAAAAAGCATTGGAAAAGTTAACGTGACTAAATGCCAACATTGGAACTGTTAAGCTAAATCCTAGGGTTTTACAAATGGTGGTTGCAAAGATAGTGAATACATTGGCTTCGATCTTCCAAAATTCCCTTGATTCCAAATGGTCTTCAAAGATTGGAAGGTGGCAAATATAACCTGCTTTTCAAGAAAAGAGGGGGGAAGAAAGGAAACAAAATATTGTAGGCCATTTAGCCAGACATCGATAGTAAGGAAAATGCTAGAATGTGTTCAAAAGCGGCATTGTAACAGGCATTTAACAAATCCAATACGATTAGTTAAAAGCAAAATGGTTTATGAAAGGAAATTTGTATTTTATGAATATTCCACACAACATTGGATATGACACGGAAAGATTCTTGGCAGTGTGGAGGAGCAGAGGGATCTCGGGGTTCATGTCCGCAGTTCCCTGAAAGCTGCCACCCAGTTGGATAGAGTTGTTAAGATGGCGTACGCTGTGTTAGCTTTCATTAATAGAGGGATTGAGTTCAAGAGCCGTGAAGTTATGCTCCAGCTATACAAAACCCTGGTTTGGCCACATCTGGAGTATTGTGTCCAGTTCTGGTCGCCTCATTACATGAAAGAGTGTAAGCGTTGGAAAAGGTGCAGAGGAGATTTACCAGGATGTTGCCTGGAATGGAGGGTAGGTCTTCTGAGGAAAGGTTGGGAGAGCTAGGGCTTTTCTCTCTAGAACGACGAAGGATGAGAGGTGATTTGATAGAGGTGTACAAAATGATCAGAGATATAGATAGAGTGGACAGCCAGAGACTTTTTCCTAGGGTGGAGGTAGCTATTACAAGGGGGCATAGTTTTAAAGTGAGTGGAGGTAGATATAGGGGAGATGTCAGGCGTAGGTTCTTTACTCAGAGTGGTTGGGGCGTGGAATGCATTGCTGGAGAGGGTAGTGGAGTCGGCCTCATTAGGGGCGTTTAAGCAGCTATTAGATAGGCATATGGATGATAGTATAAGGTAGGGGTGGAGGTTAGATAGGCCTTAGGTTTAGGGTAAAAGTTCGGCACAACATCGTGGGCCGAAGGGCCTGTACTGTGCTGTACTGTTCTGTGAGGCATAGAAGCAGGCCGTTCTGCCCAACCAGTTCGTGATTACAGTTATGCCCCACTCGAACCTCTTTCCTCATCTAAATTTATCACAGCAACCACCTATTCTTTCCTCTGATAGGTGCTTGTCTAGCTTCCCCTTAAACCCATCTACACAATACTTGCTTCAATTACTCCCTGTGGTGGCAAATTCCACATTCTCCGCTTCTTTTATCCATCTGGTATTTCTTAGTGACTACCTTACATGGTTGAAATTCTGTTAGAGTTTTATTTAAAAGAATGTAGCTGGCGAGGTAGATGATTAAAATCCAATTGTTGGGAGTATATAGAAGGTATTTTCAGAAGACATTCAATATGATGCCATACTCGAGATTGTTACACAAGATTAGAGCTCATACCTTGGAGCGATATATTGGCCTGGATTAAAGATTGCTTAATGGGTAGAAACCAGCAGGAATAAACAGGTGAATTCAGGGGCTGGCAGGGTGTAATTAGCAGAATGCTGTAGGATCAGTGCTTGGGCATCAGCTATTTAAAATCTCTCAATTATTTAGATAAGGAGATCGAGTGTAATGTATGCAAGGTCAGTGGGAAAAGAAGCTCTGAAGAGGAAGCAAAGGGATGTAAACTGGATAAAAACCAAGTGCAAAAATCAAGGCAGAGAATCCAGTGCTGTACTGGGGGAGTATTTCCAATGAGACATTGGTTTAAACCAGGGCCTCATGGGCTCGCATGGACCTAACTTATCTCAAAACCAGGCATCATCTGAAAGAAATGATGTGGAGGTGCCAGTGTTGGACTGGTGTAGACAAAATCACAAGTTGCATGGCAACAGATTATAGTCCAACAGGTTTATTTGAAATCACAAGCTTTCGGAGCGCAGCCCCTTCGTCAGGTCAAGTGAGAGGAAAGCACACACACAGAATTTATAGGCAGAGAGATCAAAAGATCATACAAATGGTGTGAGTAGAGTGTCGAATAATAAGTCTTTGCAGATGATCAAAAGTGTCAGATGGTGTGAGTAAAGTGTCAACAGCTGAATAATAAGTGAAGGGATGACCTATAATCTGACTAAATGAGACAGCGAGGTAATTACAAAAAATTAAAATTGAGGTGGTGCTGGAGTCAAACCAAACGACTGGAATAACATGATAGGTATGAGTCACGTTGCGAAGGTCTAACCAAAGTCATAAGTAATCCAAAACTCTGTAAACTAGAGAAATCATTACAATTTATCAAGGTGATGGTGTCAAAACAGGACAGTAAGGAAGATTTTACAAATACGGAACAGTGTGGTAGGGTCACATGTAGCACAACATGAACCCAAGATCACGGGTTGAGGCCGTCTTCATGGGTAGTTTGCTGTGAATGCTGGTCTGTTGAAGGTTTGGAGACGAGAAATGGAGACGTAGGAATGATCTTGGTGAGATGCTCGTCGTCACCAATGATGTGTTGAAGGCTGTGAAGCGCATGTTGTGGTTTCTCTGCTCCCAGGGAGTACTGGGCGATGAAAGGTACTCTATCGGTCATATCCTGTGTCTGTCTTCTGGGGAGGTCGTTGTGGTTTTTCGCTGTGGCACGTTGGAACTGGTGATCGATGAGTTGATTATTGTATCCCGTCCTTGCCCTGAGGCATGGTATATTGATGAAACCATGCAGACGCTACAACGGATGAATGGACACCGCGCAACAATTGCCAGACAGGAATGCTGCCTCCCAGCGGGGAAACACTTCAGCAGTCAAGGGCATTCAGCCTCCGATCTTTGGGGAAGCGTCCTCCAAGGCGGCCTTTGAGATACATAACAATGCAGAATCGCTGAGCAGAGACTGATAGCCAAGTCCCGTACCCATGAAGATACCCTCAACTGTGATCTTGGGTTTGTGTCATTGTCAGATGTGACCTCACCATTCTGAAAAATCTTCCTTACTGTCCTGTTTTGACACAAGTTATGATCTCTCTCTTTTAATTAGCTTGTACAGTTTTGGATTACTTATTACTTTGTTTGGCCTTGGCACATGACTATTATACCTACCATGTTATTCCAGTCGTTTGGTTTGTCTCCAGCACCACCTTATTTCTCAATTATTGGAATTATGTCTTTGCTTCATTTAATCAGATTATAGGTCATCCCTTTGCTTGTTATTCAGCTGTTGACACTTTACTCTCACCATCTGACACTTTTGATCACCTGCAGAGACTTATTATTCAATACTCCACTGACACCATTTGTATGATCTCTTGATCTCTCTGCCCTTGATCTGTCTGCCTATAAACTCTGTGTTGGTATGCTTCTCTCTCTCTCTTCATCTGATGAAGGCGTTATGCTCCGAAAGCTCATGATTTCAAATAAACCAGTTGGACTATAGCCTGACATTGTGTGACTTCTGACTTTATTTCAAAGAAAAGCAGGGGAATCGTTTCTGAGTGGCCTGGCAGGTATCTATCCCTCTGTCAAATCATAAAAACAGACCCTCAGGTAACTAAAGATAATTTCTGAAGAAGGGTCCAGACCCGAAACATCAGCTTTCCTGCTCCTCTGATGCTGCCTGGCCTGCTGTGTTCATCCAGCTCCACACTGTTATCTCAGATTCTCCAGCATCGGCAGTTCCTACTATCTCTCAGGTAACTATCATGTTGCTGTTATGTGGGATCTTGCTGACTGCAAATTAACTGCTGTGTTTCCAGCATTACAACAGGGGCTCCACTTCAAGAAGCACCTCATTGGCTGTAATGTCTTGTGGTTGAGCAAGATAAGAAGGTGTCAGATGGATGCATGATAATGCGGGACATGTGAAATAAACAGCTCTGCTAGGAAAAATAGAAAAGGAGAATATTTTTAAAAGGATGAGAGTAACATGTTATGATGCACAGGGTGTTTTTGCATGCAAATGAAGGAAAGTTAGCTTGTAGCTTCTTCCTGCTGTTCTCTCCTTGAAGGGAAGACCTTGTCAATTATTTGGCCAAGTCTTGCAGAGTGCCATGATGTTTATTACAGGAAGGTCAAGAGGCAGGACCCAAGGCTACTTCAGTTTAAATGGGGTTTGAAGCCCATGTTGTTGGTGTTAATCAGATGAACGTATTAGCTGTCTAGCCAACTGAGCTAACCACCTCCCTCTGCTTGCAGTTACATGAAAGCAATTAAGAAGGCAGATGGTATGTTTGCCTTTAGTGCTGGGGATTGAAGAATAAGAGGAATATAAGAGTGAGAAGGTCTTGCTGCAATTATACAGGAACTTGGAGGGATCACATGTGAAGTAATGTGTGCAGTTTCGATTTTCTTGCCTAAGGAAGGATATGCTTACCTTGAAGTTTCTGTAGATTGATTCCTGGGATGAAAGGGCTGTGCTGCAAGGAGAGATCGAGTAGAATAAGCCCAGATACTCTGGAGTTTGGAAGCATAAGAAGTAATCACATTGAAACATTTGAGGAATAGACCAGAGAATGATGCCACCTATTTTGTTTTCAGTTAAAACAGGCACAATGTTCTTATTCTTGCTGTCTGTTTCTTTTTATTTTGTTTAACAAACTATTGTATGAATAATGCTGCTGTTTCACCTTTTGATCTTTGTTTTCTGCATCTCCCAGGTAATTCCAAGTTTGGCCAAAGTATATCTGGAGCAGGTATGATTCAATTCCACCACATATTGGGCTGAGTCTTAACTCTCATAAATGAGTAGATTAGGAGCTCATCAGGGCTTAAAACACAAACATATCTGAAACGGAAACCTAGTGTGGCTCAGTTCCGCACATCTGGCATTTTCATAGAAGCAGAGTTAAAGAGAAGTGAAACTTGTAGGAAGTGGGTTGGTCATTTAAATATCATAATGAGGCCATGGGTAACCTGCAGCCATCAGGAGGTGAAAACGGCAGAATGCCTAAGTTAAGTCCCTTTGCAGCACTGGTTGTGGGTCAGGAAGTCCTGCCCTTGAGCAGAGATAATCCTTTATTTCCCATGACCAAAGTTTAAAGTATAATGCTTTGATTGAACTATTTTCAGTGTCGTAATGTAGATGAAATAATCTTGCTTAACCAGTAATTCTAAATTTCAAAACATAGGAAACTTGTTTTAAGTGCTGGTTTAATTTGTCAAAGAATGTTTTCTTCATTAGTAGCCCACACACAAATTGCTTGGGCATGCTACTCATATACAGTAGTTTAATATACACTTTGATGAGATGTGATGTATGACCATTTGGGAATTTTTAATATGGTGCTTTTAAAATCCTTGACAACATAATGTGTTTAAAATATCGATTTCTCCTGGAGTAATCTAATCTGACGTGGTTTGTTTCAAATTATTCTGGTCCCTAGAGCCATGGCGCTGCATTCCTGTAAACCCTGATTTGTGTCTCTGTTGAACATGACTCCTCTGGAATGTGCAGTCAACAAGCAGAACCAGTTCTCAAATTTGGTACCCATTCCAAGGTCATTTTCCAATTCAGATATGTTTTCAGAAGGAGGAACAGAAAATGCTGGAGAAATTCAGCAGGTCTGGCAGCATCTGTAGAAAGAGAAACAGAGTTAATATTTCAAGTTGTGTGACTTTTTTTCAGAACTGTAGATGGGTGTAAATGTAATGTGATGTATACTATTGATGAAGGTGGGACATAAACAAGTGGAACAGAATGGAAGGTCAGGGAAAGGGTAGAGGGCAAGGGAAATTAAACATTAATTGTGTCATAGAACAAAGGGCAAATGGAATGGTAATGGTTGTAAAGAAAAGACAAAGCATATATCCATTGGTATTAATAGTAAAATTAAAGTCAGCTCTGAATGAAAAAAAAACTATGAAAATGAGGTACAGACACCAGTGGAAAGAATTATCGAAGGGATGATGGAGTTTGTGGTCTGAAATATATTTTCAGGGCGTGTTTTATTGCTTGGTTGGATCAGTTGAGTTGGCCTGTGGCAGAAAGTTGGCATAATTTATGGCCCTCATTGATTTCTTCTGGTTCTTGCAATGTATAAAAATAATAGAATGTCACTCACCTGCTGGAGATTTTCAGTCCTATCTTTGATGTGCGTCAAAACAGTTTACAACAAAGGTGGAAATGTTTGTGTTCTGAAGTTCACCATAGGCACCCAGTGATAGCATTCCTCTGTTATTTACAATATGGTTGGGTACAGGATAAAGTCCCATCTGATACTTAACATCAATTGCCAAATCCAGTCTTAAGAAACCATATCTTATTGCAGCAGCATCAGCCTCGACGCTGTGGTATTACTCATATCAAGCTGATCATTGGTTCAAGTGCCACTTCAGGGTCTTTAGTGCATTGTCTGGGCCAATGCAGCAGTGAAGGATTACAGCAAGATCAAAGATGGTTCGGATAAGAAATTAAATGTTTAAAAAATTAGTGCTATTTAAGAAAACCTGATGACCTGCTCACTGCCATGTGCTTTTGTTATGATGCTTTTGTTTCTGATGAAGGGTCTAGGCCCGAAACGTCAGCCTCTCTGCTCCTATGATGCTGCTTGGCCTGCTGTGTTCATCCAGCCCTGCACCTTGTTGTCTCTTTAGTTAGCTGGGAAGGGCTTTGGGGTTTTATTTTATTGTTCACGTGATGTGGGCGTTGCTGGCTAGACCAGCATTTATTGCCCATCCCTAATTGCCCAGAGGGCAGTTAAGAATCAACCATGTTGCTCTGGGTCTGCAGTCACATGTAGGCCAGACCAGGTAAGGACAGCAGTTTCTTTCCCTAAAGGACATTAGTGGGCCAGGTGGGTTTTTTTTCCCAACAATCAGTGATGGATTCATGGTCATTATTCCAGACTTTTATTGAATTTAAATTCCACCATCTGCCATGGTGGGATTTGAACACATCCCCAAAACATTTACCTGGGTCTCTGGATTAACAGTCCAGGAATAATACCACTAGGCCATGACCTCCCCCTAGTTCATTCTCCTGTTGAGTTCATGAAATGTGCTTTATAAAATGCAAATTCACGTCCTTGCAAGTGATGTGAGGAAGGTGGTCCATTGATTAACTCCCAGTAATAACAGTTAATCATTTTCATTGATATTGAATGTCTGGTCTCACAATGCACAAATCCATAATACTGCAGATGTTGGAAAACAGGAAGGAAGTCTGCTCAATTCCCAGAACAGAGTACCAGTGTTAACACCAGTTGATAAACTTTAATCAGTGCTATTAAATGAGAGAAAGAGATGTCGGGGGGAATAGAACAGAAGGGAATATCAGTGATTGGAAGGGAAGCAGGAGAGACTAAACGCCAAAAGGATGATGGTGTGAGACAAAAAAAAAAGCAAGAAGGAAAGGAACAAAAATAGTGAGAAGAGTGCAACATGAGCAGTGAATTCAGAATACTGAGTTGAAAGAAGTCGAAGTAATGGGAGATATTTGTGATGATGGGTGGGTCTGAAATATGAAGAGTAAAATTTAATTAGGAATCCATGTGGAATAAGTCCAGGCCCAGAGGCAGTAGCTGAACAGAGAGGCATGGCTGAGAAAGTGAGTTTTGGATACCTGATCAAACGTAGGAAGGGAAGCATCAAACAGTGAAAGTTAAGAGAGACAAACAGCAGAGCAAAGTAACACATTTCATCAAGGTGGGTAATACGAGATTGCACACTGGAAACATTCTACAGGGAGACTCTCAGCCAGGTTGACAACTTTTCAGTTTTGGTCAGTATTTTTAACGTGACCAACAGATACAGGAGGAAATGCCCCTGAGCACATTCTCGACCCTAACAACCAACAAGAAGGGAGATCATTACCTAATTCATCTCAGCTAGTATTGAATCCAGCTTGCAGGCAAGAAAGGATAGTGTGCTGTACTACCCAAACAGCTAGTTATCTGGCTGTTCAGAGGTTTTGACAGAGAGCTCAGCCAAGTGTGGGTTAACTCAGAAACTGGCTGGTTTGGCAGTTCAATAATAAGCTTTGCCTGCAAGGCTGATATTGTTTTTTTTAAACAAGAGTGTTAATGAAGCAGAAAGACCACTGTCTGACACGAGATTTATTTTCCTTCTGTACAGGAGGCTGCTTGTGTGTGTATGGGAGAGCGAATTGAATACGATGAGCAAATCCCAACCAGGTACCAGGAAATGATGATGCATGCTCAAAATCTCAAACCTTTTAATTTTCTTTTCTTTATCTCTTCTGTTTAAACCTTAGAACATCAGGTAGTTGAGGGTATGTTGCAGAATATTCTAACTTATGCATTAAATTTAGTGTAACAACTGCATTACTATCAGGTAATGAAGAATTTTTTTTTTTAACCTATTGCTACCTATGAGCATTGCTGAGAAGGCCAGCATTTATTGCCCATCCCTCAGTGTCCTTGTGAAGGTAGTGCTGAGCACAGAATGATTTACAGTCTCTGGAACATAAGCCCTTTTTATATAAAAAGAAAGCACCTCGACAGTACCCAATATAACGTTGATCAGTAAAATCTCAAAGTGCCTCATCTACCATGAGGTTACAGTCATTATTGTTACATGAGCACAAGGCAGTGTGTGTGTTTTAAAAATTCATTTACAGTATGTGGGTGTCAGTAGCTGGGAAAAAAAAAATTATTGCTCATCCCTAATTGCCTGGAGGCCAGATTTCCTTTCTGTAAAGGGCATTAGTGAACCAACGTTTTTACTGACATTCAGCAGTGATTGTGATTTGATTTCCCAGACTTTTATGGAGTTCAAATTTCACCATCTAGCATGGTGGGATTCGAACCCATTTATCCAGAACATAGCCTGGGATTCTGGATTACTAGACCTGTGACATTACCATTATGCCATCACCTCCTCTAATGTCCAGTTCATCAAACTTTTTACACAGGCCAGCAAGATCATGCAAACAGTCTGCCATAGTGAACAGTGTCTTAGGATGTGAAGCACTAAGAAGTTTGATCCGATCTGAGGAACAGTACCTGTGCCAATGCAGCTTTCCTCCTGTATTGCAATTTTATGCAATCCTGCCAACTATGGTCACTAGGCCTTGAGAACAAAGTACAACAGAAAGTAAATATTGTATTGCAACTTTGTATTATCAGGAAGAAGTTCACTTAGGTTGATTCTGGGTATGGAGGGATATTCCTATCAGAAGAGATAGTGTCATAGAGTTGTATAGCATGGAAACAGACCCTTTGGTCCGACTCGTCCATGCTGACCAGATCCTAAATTAACCTAGTCCCATTCCAGCATTTAGCTCATATCCCTCTAAACCCTTCCTAGTCATGTACCCATCCAGATACCTTTTAAATGTTGTAATTGTACCAGCCTCCTCCACCTCCGCTGGCAACTTATTCCATAGACGCATCACCTTCTGCGTGAAAAAGTTGCTCCTTACGTCCCTTTTAAATCTTTTCCCCTCTCGCCTTAAACTATGCTGTCTAGTTTTGGGCTCCCCTACTTCAGGGCAGAAGATCTTGGCTATTCACTCCATCCATGCCTATTGTGGTTTTAAAAACCTCCATAAGGTCACTCTTTAGCCTCCAATACTCCAGAGAAAGTAGCCTGAGCCTATTCAGCCTCTCCCTATAGCTCAAATCCCTCCAACCCCGGCAACATTCTTGTAAATATTTTTGGAACCCTTTCAAGTTCACAACATTTTTCCTATAGCAGGGAGACCAAAATTAGACACAGTATTCCAGGAGTAGCCTAAACAGTGTCATGTACAGCTGCAACATGACCTCCCAAATCCTATACTCAAATGCACTGACCAATGAAGGCAAGCGTACCAAATACCTTCCTCACTTTCCTGTCTACCTGCAACTCCACCTTCAACGATAACCTTTGCTGCCCACTACACCACCAATTTTGATGTCTTCTGCAAACTTATTAACCATACCTCCTATATTCACATCCAAATCATTTGTATAAATAACAGAAAAGCAGTGGACCCAGCACTGATCCTTGTGGCACACCGCTGGTCACAGGCCTCCAGTCTGAAAAGCAGCCTTCCACCAGCACCCTCTGTCTCCTACCTTCAAGCCAATTTTGTATCCAAATTGCTAACTCTCCCTGGATTCCATGTGATCTAATCTTGTTAACCAGTCTACCCTGCAATAGTAGGTTGGGTATGCACTCAAGTTTAGAAGAATGACAGAATTCTTGAAGCATACAAGAATTTTTTAGGGCCTTGACAAGGTAGATGCAGAGAAGATTTATGTACATGTGGTAGAGCCTAGGATCACAGGGCATAATCTCAGAGTAGGGGATCACCCGTATCCAGTAGAGCTGAGGAGGACCATTTTCTTTCAGTGGGTAGTGAAGCTGTAAAATTCTTTACTGCAGAGGGCTGTCAAGACTGGGTCATTGAATACATCTAAGACAGAGAGAGACTTTAAACCAGTGAGGGAATCAAGGGTTATAGGGATAAGGCAGGAAAACGGAGTTGAGGATTATCAGAGCAGTCATGATCTCCCTGGTGGAGCAGACTTGATGGGCCAAATGGCCTACTTCTGCTCCTACATCATATGGTCTTAAAAATAATGTAACCTAAAGAAACAGTTTCCATGAACGTTTCTTTCTTTCTCCATGGGATGTAGCATTGCTGCTGAAGCCGATATTTATTTCCCAGCCCTGGAAAAGGTGGCTGTGAGCTGCCAAATCCCTTGCTGCATAACAGCATCCACAGGGCCGTTAGGAAGCGGTTTTTTTGGATTTTGATCCAGTGATGATGAAGGAACGATAATTGAATCAGGATAGTGTACGGCTTGGAGGGGCATTTGCAGATGGTGGTGTTCCCTTCCATCTGTTCCCATTGTTCCCTGCCCCCAAGTAGTAAAGGGATGGATTTTGAATGTGTTGTTGAAGGAGCCTGGGTGAATTCTTGCAGTGACGGTACATTCTGTGCATCAGTAGTGGACGGAAGGAATGTTTAGATTGGAGGATGGGGTGCCAAACAAGCAGCCTGCTTTATCCCGGATCATGTCAAGCTTCTTGAGTGTTGTTAGAGCAGCGGCCATCCAGACTCTGGAGAGCATGCTATCACTCCCCCTGAGTTGTGCCTTGTCGAGGCCAAAGGGAAACTAGAGAATTAGGAGGGGAGTTAGTTATCACAGAATTCTGAGAATCCGACTGGCTCCTGTATCCACAGTATTTAAATGGCAATGAGGGGCGATGATCTTTTCCCATTAGGAGGTGGTTATAATTGTCTGTGTCATGAATGTTACTTGCCACTTACCGGCACAAGCCTGATTGTTGTCCAGGTTTTGTTGTGCATGGACACAGACTGCTTTCGGTATCTGAGGAGTCATGAATGGTGCTGGACATTGTACCCAAACATTCCCACTGCTGACCTCATGATGGAGGGAAGCTCATTGATGAAGCAGCTGATGTTGAGGATGGGCCTAGGACACTTGGTGTATTCTAGCTAATTAGCGGTAACTAATCACGTGTCTGAAATGTTCTGTGTGGGAATCAATGGATGCAGACCAGGTTTGGTGGAAGATGACGGACTGGGCAGGATTTTGTTTATACAGTAATGGTTGACTACTTCCTGGTAACCGTCTAACCATTTGTTATGCTGTTCGTTAGTCTTGAATGTTGTGATTATTATATATGCTCAGTACCCAAAATTAATGTATTGTTTCTTTGTGCTAATCAAGGTTCATTGGTGCCTTATGGTCACAGAAATATAATATCAAAAATGACAGTGACTTCAAAGAGCAGCTGGAACAATTTTTTTGCTGTTCAAGATATGTTAATAGACCATAATTTAGAGGAGCAGAATTAGGCCATTCGGCCCATTGAGTCTGTTCCATTTGATCATGGCTGATATGTTTCGTAAACCCCACTCTTCTGCCTTCTCCCCATATATCCTTGATCCTCTGACGAACACTATATCTCTGTCTTAAATACTGTCAATGACTTGGCCGCCACAGTTGTCTGTGACAATGAGTTCCTCAGATTCACCACCCTCTGGCTGAAGAAATTCCTCCTCATCTCAGTTCTAAAGGCTTGTGCCTTCAGGACATAGTCTTTCCTACTAGTGGAAACGTTCTCCACATCTACTCTATCCAGGCCTCTCATATTCTGTAGGTTCAATGAGATTCCCCCCTCACCTTCAACTGCAACAATACAGAGCCAGAGTCCTCAACTGCTCCTCATATGACAAGCCCTTCAAGCCCAGGATAAATCTTGCAAACCTCCTCTGGATCTTCTACAATGCCAGCACATCCTTCCTTAGGTATGGGGCCCAAAACTGCTCACAATATTCCAGACTCGGTCTGACCAGAGCTTTATACAGCCTCAGCAGTATATCCCGGTTCTTATATTATAGCCCTCCTGAAATGAATGCTAACATTGCATTTGCCTTCCTAACGGTCAACTGAACCTGCATGTTAGCCTCAAGATAATCCTGAACTAGGGCTCTGAAGTCCCTCTGCGCTTCAGATTTCCAAAGCCTTTCCCCATTAGAAGATAGTCTGTGTCTCTATTCTTCCTAATAAAGTGCATAACCTAATACTTTCCCACATCGTATTCCACCTACCACTTCTTTGCCCACTCTCCTAGCTTGTCCAAGTCCTACTGCAGCCTCCCCGCTTCCTTTAAAATCTTACCAACAACCAAGGTCAGACTAACTGACTTCTAATTTCCCACCTTCTGCCTTCCTCCCTTCTTAAACATGGGTGTTACATCGGCCATTTTCCAGTCCTCTGGGACCCTCCCTGACTCCAGTGATTCCTGAAAGATCACCATAAATCCTCCACAATCAGCTATCTCCTTCAGAACCTTGGGATGCAGTCCATCCAGTCCAGGTGATTTCTCCACCTTCAGGCCTTTCGGCTTCACCAGTATCTTCTCCTTAGTGATGGCCACTACACTCATCTTTGTCCCCTGACTGTCTTGAAGTTCTGGTATGTTGCTGGTGTCTTCCAGCATGAAAACTGATGCAATGATACCTGTTCAGTTCCTCTGCCATTTATTTTTTCCCCATTACTACTTCTCCGCCCTCATTTTCCAGCAGTCCAATGTCCATTACTACTACTCTCTGTGCCTCACTCTTTTACTTTTATAGAACAAAGAATAATCTTGCAATCTTCTTATACTACTAGCTAGCTTATCCTTGTATTTCAGCTTCTCCCTCCTAATTGCTTTTATAGTTATCCACTGCTGGTTTTTAAAGCCTCAAGGTAGCACACATGTTTCACTAAATTTGGCCCGAACAGACTGGCTCAGTGTTATGACTATTTTTAGATGCAGAATAAGTATTATTTATTTAACGAATGATTTGGTGTGCTATTATTCGAGTTGCACCATTAGTGCAAGTCCAGCACATTTCTGAAGGAAGTGACCTGCACCATTCTGTGGTTTACTACGCTAGACTGGATGCTGAGAGAAGTTATGGTGAGGTTATTGAGGTGTAAATCACATTAAAACATGCGGACACCTCGCACGTAGTTGATGCTGTAATCCAACTCTTCCACAAGGTTCACCATACTATACCTTATCAGAAGTATTCTCCCTTGAGGTGTAAATGAATTGTTAATGTGCAAAGTCTTAAATATGAACAGCATCCTCTCTAGGTTTGAAAGTTTTGGAATCTCATTTCTTCAGTGTTTAGTTCGTAGAGATTTTCTTAAAGCTTTTATTTCAACCTTTTCTTGGTTTTTTTATCTCTCAATCCATTTTCCTTGCCATCTTTAGATGTCACTTTCTGTACAGGATTTTATATCGAATTATTTTATTATTCACTCATGATGTGTAGGCGTTGCTGGCTGGGCTGGCTTTTATTGCCTATTCATAGTTGCCCTTGAGAAGGTGGTGGTGAGGTGCCTTCTTGAACCACTGCAGTCCAGATGCTGAAGGTTGACCCACAATGCCATTACAGAGGGAATTCCAAGATTTTGACCCAGTGACAGTGAAGGAATGGCGATGTATTTTCAAGTGAGGATGGTGAGTGGCTTGAAGGAGAGCTTACAGATGGTAGTGTTCCCTTGTCCTTCTAGGTGGAAGTGGTCATGGGTTTGGAAGGTGTTGTCTAAGGATCTCTGGTGAATTTCTGCAGTGCATCTTGTAGATAGCACACTGGTGCTAGTGAGCGTCGGTGTGGAGGGAGTGGATGCTTGTCTTGTTAGTGTGATGCCAAACAAGCGGGCTGCTTTGTTCTGGATGGTGTCAAGCTTCTTGAGTGTTGTTGGGGCTGCACTCATCCAGGCAAGTGGGGTATATTTCATCGCATTCCTGACTTGTGCCTTTAAGATGGTGGATAGGCTTTGGGGAGTCAGGAGGTGAGTTAGTATTCCTAGCCTCTGACCTGCTATTGTAGCTGCTGCGTTTCTGTGGCAAGTCCAGTTGAGTTTCTCGTCAATGGTAACCCCCAGGATGTTGATAGTGGAGGATTCAGTGATGGTAACACCATTTGAATGTCAAGGGACATTCATTGTGGTTGGGCCAAGGACACTATCCTGAGAAACTCTTGCTGAGATGACTGACCTCCAACGGCCAGGTTTGACTCTAACCAGCAGACAGTTTCTCCCCGATACCAATTGATTTCAGTTTTGCTAGGGCTCCTTGATGCCATACTCAGTCAAATGTCAAGGGCTGTGACTTTCACCTCACCTCAGGAATTCAGCTCTTTTATCCATGTTTTATCCTGTGTTTTGACTACAGGATATACCTGGGCAATTTTCCACATTGTCAGGTAGATGCCAGTATTGTAACTGTACTGGAACAGCTTGGCTAGGAGAGCGGCAAATTCTGAACACAAGTCTTCAGTACTATTGCCAGAATGTTGTCAGGGCCCATAGCCTTTGCAGTATCCTGTCCCTCCAACCGTTTCTTGATATCACATGAAGTGAATCGAATTGGCTGATAACTGGTATCTGTGATGTTGTGGACCATTGGAGGAGGCTGGGATGGATCATCCACTTGGCACTTCTGGCTGAAGATTGCTGCGAATGCTTCAGCCTTATCTTTTGCACTGATGTGCTGGGCTCTTCCATCATTGAGGATGGGGATATTTGTGGAGCCTCCTCCTCCAGTGAGTTGTTTAATTGTCCACCACCATTCACGACTGGATGTGGCAGGACTGCAGAGCTTAGATCTGATCCATTGGTTATGAGATCACTGGGTTCTATCTATCACTTGTGTGCCAAACAGCATTAGCTTCACCAGGTTGACACCTCAAGAACTAAATATTATAATTTATGGTTCCTAATTTGGCCACTTTGAAGACTGATTGAGAGCCACTCTGAGCCTGGCCTGTTTGTACGCATTACCGATCTCCTGGACAGACTGCCATGGTGTTTTGGATTTTCAGTTGCTGTGCTGAAGCTCTGAAAAGTCAGCAGACTGATGCTGACTTCAAAATCCAGGCTTAAAATTTTGATTACATCACACTTAGGCTCAGTGTCTGCTGTAATTCTTGGCATGAAAGTGATGCTGAATGATTCTCACTGCCACCTCCTGCTTCTTCCCCAATCTTCACTGTTCTTTTCGACCACCATAAACCATCACAAGCCATGCTCCAGGACCATGGCTTTCGATGGATGTTTTCCCTTCCCATTTCCCCCTGCTTTCTGGGCTGCTATGGGGAAAGTGATGTAAAGGCACAGAGATTCCCAATCTGAGGCCGTGCAGTGACCTGTTCTACCCCGATTTGACCTTAAAAATTTATCTGTATCAAGATCTTCATTTTGTTTGTAATTTCCTTACTGAACTTCCCTCTTATTACTGAATTCTCTAAGAACCAGTCTTGTTTATGTCATAATCAGCCTTGAATGAAGAAAATGGATTGGGACTAAGGTGGGTTTGAAGTATGAAGACAATAATTTTTTGGCTCCTGCATAAATAATTTAGCAAAACCCTTGAGCATTTATAGTAGCACACAGCTAAACCTCACTTTGCTTAGGCCCAACATTCATTTTTAGTTGAGACTGAGTGACTTATTGGAATGGATTTTGTGATTAGCAACAAAGCAATGGTGTTTCCTGCTGACTTAGATGAAAACTGCCTAGCAATCTCTTTGACAAAGCTTCTCCTTTCCCATTGTTAATTTGAATCCATTGCCAAGTTACAGGCATCCAGCAGCTGCTAGCACCAGGCGAGATAAGCCTCCAATCACACTGATGCTCAGACTGCAAAACTAGAAAATAAAATTAAAATAATTATTCAGTAGTTTTTGAATAACTTACTTTGCCTTTGGTAAACTAAAGATTGTGGCACACGGATCATTGCAACTGCCAATTATCTGCATATTAGCAGGGATTTGAATCAATCATAAGCAATGGGACCAGGAATAATTCCATAGTCCCTCAAAACAACTGTGCCATTGATTAACATCTTAGCTGATCTCTGCACTAGTCACTTTTCTGCCAGCTCCACATAACTCTTGATTCCCAAAAAACAAAAGCCCCAAATAATGTTCTAAAAAGGCATCAGATCAGCATATTGTTTTACATAATTATGATTTTTATTTAAATTTAGGACTGACAAGGCAGCTCGTCAAAGTGTCATAGCAGAGCAACACAAACCTTTTCAAGTATTAATTTAAAATGCATTAAAATTCTGATTGCTGTAAAAACAAAATTTTATGCAAGTTGGAAATCTGAAATAAAAACACTGCAAATTTTAAGTAGGTTTGGCACTAGTGGAGCAAGAAACAAAAACAAAATCAGATCAGTGATCTTGAGTCAGAACTGTACAGCTTCTGCTGTTTTTAATTTGTGGTTGGCACATCAGTTAATGTTATTCACATTTCATGAAAGACCTTTTGTTAACAGTTAGTAAATTAACTTTGATATGTTGTGTGTTCGTGAATTCTTCCAGATTTACACCTTCTGCAGACAAGGTGGAGTAGCTGAAGTAGGAATATTTTTTTAAATGCAGTTTCTCATACTTTGGAGTTCTGATTCTCTGGATGAATGATATCAATCAATTGCAATGAATTAATAGACTAGCTGATGGTGTGTCAGGGAGGCAGCCCATCACAAATCATGTTACCAATACTTGACTTTTATTTATTTTTCTTTTTGAATTGGATAGTGGCATGTATCGACCTATCTGGGCAGCATATGGAGAATACTTGTATGTCCCTCCCCAGCGCTGGGTTCACAATCTGCAGGTATTGAATTATTCATTTGATATTTTTAAGCTTGCTTTGTTTCAAATGAAACTTTAGCCATGCCTTTGTCTCCAAAGGGGAGGGGATGAAAGGTACTATTCTAGCATGAGCAGTTATAACATGGTCTAGAGGGTGAGTAATGGAAATTGTGGATACCAGACTAGAGTGTCAGGCAGCAGACTAATAACGAGTATCTGTATGAGTGAAGCGAGAGATAACTCACTAGTTCTGCATTGATAATGAAGTCTCAGCAAGACTCAGTAATTGTGCCACAATGTTGGCTGGTCATTTTTTATTTATGGGCATGTGTAAACTGCATTCTAGGAAAGCAAAAAACTTGAAATCAGTTCTTAAGAGTAGAGAATATTAATGTTAAAATGTTACACTGATTTCCAGAGTTATTAAAGCATTTAATCATTACTTCATTCATTAGAAAGTGATCATTTGATCATGCACTAATTTGCAAAGAAACTAGGAGCAGGAGTATGCCTTTCAGCCCTTCGATCCTGCTGCACTACTTGCTATTATCCTGGTTGATCCTCTGTCAGTGCCATATTTTCTGCATTGTCCCATAACTCTCAAAGCCTTTAAAGTGTAAAATATTGAATATATTCAGTGACTTAGAGTCATACAGTTTGGAAACAGGCCCTGTAGTCCAACTAGTCCATGCTGAACATGTTCCAAAACTAAACTCATCCCACCTGCCTGCATTTGGCCCATATCCCTCCAAATCTTTCCTATTCGTGAACTTATTCAAATATTTTTTAAATGTTGTAAACGTACCTACATCCACCACTTCCTTGGGCAGTTCACTCCGCACACTACCCATTCTGCGTAAAAAGTTGCCCTTCATGTCCTTTTTAAATGTTTATCCTGTCATCTTAAAAATATGCCCCCTAGTTTTGAACTCCCCCACCTTTGGGAAGAGACCTTTGTTATTCATCTTATCTGTACTCCTAATGATTTTATAAACCTGTATAAAGTCACCCCTCAACCTCCTACATTCCAGTGAAAAATGTCCCGGCCTACCCAGCCTCTCCTTATAATTCAATTCCCGGCAACATCCTGGTCAATATTTTCTGAACCCTGTTCAGTTTAATAAATAGCTCGCAATGAAAGGGTTAAAAAAATGCAGTCTCAAAAACTCCTACTAAGGAATTGGAATGAGAGTCGAGTGACCACATCGGTCAAGCATCTCAGCAAGATGAAGGATGCATTCATGCTACAGTTGCAGTGTGAGTGCAAAGCAGTTTTGCAATTCAAACCCAGAATTAATAAATTACCTGATGACAGTCCCTCCGACACTTTCACGTTCTAAGCGTGCAAACTCAGAAAACAGCATATATCAACAAATCATCCCTCCCATCTATCCTTATAGGTATTACGTTGTATAGTAGCCAACAGGTGAAAGCTTCTTTTTGTTTCTTTTCTCAGTCAGCTTTTTTTTGCTATAACACATCTTCTATGTAAATGTATAGTCATTGTTTAATTGTAGCCAAGTGGTGGGCATTAACTGGGGGATTGATCCCATAAACAGACAAACTAAAACTACAGCTACCCAGGTTGGGTGGTATATACTTGGAATGTGTAAATCTATAAATAAATATAACAAGTGCATTAGACTGATTCCAGTTCAACATTCACTAATTGGATTGAAGCGTTCCTTAACAGAAAGTCAAAGAAGCTAGACAACTTAGCTCATGAGCCCCTATTAATCCATCCTTGTGATAAGGACATCTACTTGAACAAATACTGAGTAGTTAAAGACATATTAAACTTCAAACCAATGAGTAAATAACGTGAGCATCAGCTCATATTGTGGCATGATATGCGTAGTCAAAGGAGAGCCTCATGCAGTCAACAGAAAATGTATTCTCCTGATCCTCATTGCGATGGTTGTATCAGGATGTATGACACTGCACAGTGCCAGCACCGGTCACATACGGTGTGTGATTTTGTCATGCTTGGCCACCACAGTCTTCTGCAGTAGACAATCCCACAGGTTCATTAACATTTAAATTAAGGAATTTTTCAGCTCAGTCCTAAATGCTGTTGAAACAAAGAAACTGCAGATGCTGGAATCCAAGGTAGACAAACAGGAGGAAAAAAGCAGTCAACATTTCAGGTATTATCCTTCTTCCCGACAGATGCTGCCTGGCTTGCTGTTTTTCCAGCCTCCTGTTTGTCTACCCTAAATGGTGTTCCCTGGTTATAGACTCCTCAAACAGGGAAAGCATCCTCTTTGCATTAGTCTATCCAGCCCTGTTAAACTTTATACATTTCAGTTAGATCCCTCCTCATCCTTCTAAACTCTAGTGAATACAGGCCTAATCGAACCAAACTCTCCTCATAGGACAGTCCTGTTATCCCTACTATCAGTCCAGTGGACCTCTGCTGCGCCATGTTTCTGGCAGTAAGATGAGGTGTGGCTGCACCAAGGTCTCGTTCCTTCTTTCAACCTCAAGTTCTCTTCCAATGAAGGCCAGTATACCATTTGCCTTCCTAATTGCTTGCTGTACCTGCCTGATGTACAAGAACATCCCAATCCCTTTATACATCCACAATTTCAATATGGCACTATTTAAATAATCGACTTCCTTTCTGTTTCTCTCACAAAACCACCTGTATAACGTGGCTAACACTTGAAGTAATCTCATTGACTATCATTTAACACATGGATGCCTAATTATTTCCATGTTTAATTGGCATTACTCTGGACAAATGGTAATAGATTAGCTTCCCATGCCTGGACAGTAGGTGCCAGAAATCTGCCTCTGTTTCTCTCAGGCCTAACTCTAGTTTCCACCTTTCCAGCAGTAAATCCATTCCACATGATCATCTCAATGCTGAACAAAATCTCAGACCTTCTCATCCATAACCTTGCGTTTTTGATAAAATGGTACTGAATCGCTTTCACTGTACTTTTAATTGTTCCGTTTTCTTGTCTAGCGAGGTGGGGTAGCGTTCCTTTATCATCCGTGTGTGCACCCCAGATTGAAGGAGGAGCTCTCCCTACTGGCGAGAGCGTGCAAGTACCAGCACATCATCACTCCACATCTCAATCTAAGTCAGCAATGGGTAAGCACCTCACCCTGCTAATACTATGAGGTAGGGACTATATATGGATATTCTCCCATTTCGAGCAACGATCCCTTAATAGTTAATCTCCATTGAAACTCAAATTATGGATTCATGTATTGGACAATTGGCTGGGGATGCATTTGCACAGAATCTGCACGTTCTATATTGTCAGCCGATCACAGAGTGTAAGGGATAGCCCTGGCTGTAGTTTGCATCCATTAGGAAACTTTGGGAATAAAAATGCCCTGAAAACAATTTATAGCAAAGCAGTATAGATTTTGAACTGTTAATTCTTTCTTTCCTGGTTGTTCAGTCCAGACTCCCCAAACTATGGTGTCTCTAGCCAGAAGTTTGGGCTCACAAGGCATCATCTCACAGGGGTTTTCATCTACTCTATAATTCCCACACTCAGGATTAAGCCCCTTGGAACAGTAAGAATAGGCTCTGTTTTTTCCCACCTTTAGTTTTTGCCCCAGACCCTGTAGGGGAAAATGGAATCTGAGGCATCTAAGTGTCCCCTGCTTTTAAACTTGGTGTAAATCCAGTCAAAATCCCTTCCAAAGTATTTGGTGTTTAGCAAAACCATAGAGGAAACAATTGCATTAATGTTTTCCATGAAGAAGCGCTCCTTGTGTTAATTTAGTTATACTGTTCTACTTTAACAGCCTCTGGCCTTGGTTACATGGGGTAAAAGTTTGGAAATGTCAACGATTAACTTGGCAGAAGCTGTTTCTTGGCTGAGGGAGAATGTAAACCTGGCTCATAGCTCGGAAATGGAGGATGATGGTGCTTACAATTATCTGCTGATCAGGCGAGCAAAGCTGATGTCAGCCAGTAATGATCGTGTGACCTGTCGTGAAAACCAAATGAAGGTAAGATGACCCTCTGAAGGAGCAAAATTTAGATCCCAGCTGAAGGCCATAGATGGAGTCAATTTGCTTACTTCAGCCATGCTACGTAAGCAATGAACCCTTTTTGTTTAATATAAAAGCTAACACACCAAGGAGTTGCTTATTCAGCTAAGAAAGCAAGAATTAATTATTTGCAGTTGTTAGGACACAGCTGGCCTGCACAAAGGACAGATTTTGGACTCATTCCAAGTTGGGATTCAAAATAGACTAGTAAAAGCAAGGCCCAAAATAGCATGTTGGTCAATACACATGCCTTATTTCAGTTTAATTGCTCTTGTGTGATTTATGTTAATGAACAAGGAGAATTTTATAGTAATCAGGAATTATAGTAAATAAATTGTGAACAATTTTTAAGTCCTGAGGAGCCCCACTGTAGGCATTTTAACATGGTTCTGTACAGCTTCACATCAAACTTAAGTCCCAGCTATGTGCTGCGTTAGCCAAGGTCACTGACGAATTGCTAAGAATTAGCCTTCAGCATCCTTTCACATTTACAAAGAGGGGGATATATAATATTGTGATGTTATTTGAATAAATCCAGGTCAGATGATGGCAGTGCTTGTTATTGTTACACTCCCCTCTATAAACATCTAAAAAGTAGTCACTGTCAAGGGGATGGTATAAAATGCAAACAGAAATTGCTGGAAAGGCTTGGCAGGTCTGGCAGCATCTGTGAAAAGAAATCAGAGTTAACGTTTCTTCCGCAGAACTGATGGTAGCTAGGGAAACGTAGAGAGAGAGAAGAACAGTTGGACAGACAAAGGAGGGGATAAGCACTCAGGCTAGGAGAATGAATTGCTACTAATGGGGACAATTAGTGGATAACAAGGGTGGTGTGTTGGGGTTGGAGTAAGAACATAAATGAAGGTGCCTCAAACCCTAAAATTGTTGAACTCAATATTGAATCCAGAAGGCTGTAGAATTCCCAAGCAGAAAATGAGCTGATCTTTGCTGGAGCACTCCAGCAAGCCTGAGACTTCAACCAAGGAACTGGAAGGGTCTGTCTTTCTTGCAGACAGAACAGAGGTGTTCTGTTCACCCAGTCTACGCTTCGTTGCTCCAATATAAAGGAGATCACATTGTAAGCAGCGAATGCAGTAGACTAGATTATGTGAAGTACAGGTAAATCGCTGCTTCACCTGGAAGCCGTGTTGGGCCTGTGGATACAACCCGCGGTTGCAAGAGAAGGTGCCATGGGACTGAACCAAGGTGTCCCGGAGGGAACGGTCCTTGCAGAAAGCTGACGGGGAGGGAAGGTAGGTGAGGACAAGAGGGAACCAAGGGTGGATCCACCTGAGGGCCCTGTCAACTACGGTGCAGGTGGACATTTCAGAGGCGACGGAGATGGAATAGAGTCTTTACAGGAAGCAAGGTAACTGTGGGAATCACTTGTTTGTAGTGGATGTTGGTGACCAGCCTATCCCTAGAAATGGAAATAGATGTTGAGGAAGGGAAGGGAGGAGTCAGTGACGGACGAAGTGAAGGTGAGAGTGGAAATTGGAATGAAATTGATAAAATTTTCCAATTCCAGACTAGAAAGGGAAGCAGCACCGATGATGTCACCAATATACTGGAACAGAAAGGAATGTTCCACATACCCCACAAAGAGGCATAATTGGGGCCCATGCAGCACCCATGGCCACCCCTCTGACCTGAAGAAAGTCAGAGGAATTAAAAGAGAAGTTATTGAGGGTGGGGATGGAGAAGTAGAGAGCCCTGAGACCATTCTGATGGGGTAAGGAGGCGGCAGCAGCTGGAGCCCACAAACTGGAAATTCTGAAACTGATGTAAAGCATCACAAACGTGAGTCATGATGTGGAGTACCAGTGTTGGACGTAAATGGGAAGGGACTGGACTGAGTCGAGGTAGAAAGAGATGAGTTCTGTGGGGCAGGAGCAAGTGGAAACAAAGGGTCTACTGGGAATTTAAAATGTATAAAACTGTTACTTTTTCTTTGGCAGGAACTGCAACACTACTTTAAGAAAAGTAAACTTCAGTCAGCAGTAAGAAAAGGGAATAATAAAGTTGGAGTAAACATGCTCAGCAAAGGACTGCATGTGATCTTCAGGCGGAGAAGAAATTCCTCTCAGCTCCGAGAACCCACTCAACCCAGCCGACTCGATGATAGAACTTCTTCCACAGCAGAAATTTCTTGGAAGAAGCACGAGGGATCAATGAGGAATGTGTCCATTGTGAATCAATCAGCAAATCTAATGGGAGAGCCCAGTGGACCAGCAGGAATTACTGGGAACCAGGAGACAAGAAAGGGAAACAATGAAGTTGGAGGGGAACAGAACACGAGAAATAACTTGACATCTACGACACCTGGAAGTAAAGCTCACCAACAGACCTTTCTACGCAGCAGTGTGGCCAAGCTGGAGAATTCAACTGAGTTCATTGCTGAACAGCTAAATTCTCATCAGCAGAACCAAGTGTACAACACATCAGATTCTTCACTGGATTCACAAGTGAAAGCTCAGAGGACCGAGAGTTCTGCACAAGAACACATCAAAAGTGGTTCTAGTATTACTAACAGGGCTAATCACGAAATCCGAGAAAACCCTCTCATGAAGGAGCAGCGGATAGTTAAAATTATTGCTAATAGTAATCATGTTTCTGACAGTAGAGCTGTCAATGAGGACACAGGTCAAATACCTCAGAATGGAAGCAAAGTGAGTGGTGAAAATGCAAAACCCCTACAGCCTTCAGAAATCTCTTCCAAAATTGAAATAGACAGTGGAGAAGTGGGCAGTGACAGAACAGTCCAAAAAGTGGAGGTGAAGGAACCAAATATCCCAAAGAGTAATAAGACAGTGATCCCAAATGCTCAGGATGATCACAATGAAACTGCAGCAGTAGATTCTGTGAAGGCGAACTGCAAATGTGAAGATACAGCTTCTCAGAACATACAGCCTGCGCCTGGTCGTGCAGATTCAAATACTTTAAAGGCAGGGATTCTTGAGAAAATTCAACACCGTGAAGAAGATAGGACATTGTACATCCCCACACCACGAACAGAGGAGGCAGCCTGGGCTGCAGCAGCCCTTGCATTCCTCTTTGTGTTCCTCACACTGGCAGTGTTATACACCAGGCTGTACAGAAAATTTATAAAGAGTGACAGTTTATACTGGACACCAGTTCCAGCCATTGATGGACACGAAACTGTAGCAGGTGAATCTAATTTTTTTTAAAAATGCTATCAGTGCAAAAAATTTTACTCAGACATTTTCTGGTTTAGAGGCAGCAATCCAGTCCATTGTATCCTGACCAGTCAACAAAGTCAATTTCTTCCAGCTCTTGTCCAGTAGCCCTTGGCAATGTAAGATACTGCTTAAATGTTATGAGAGTTCAGACACCCATCTGCAAAAGCCTTGTATTTACACTCATGAATATTTCTGGTTCCCTCCTCAAAAGATCTATCAGATTTGTCAAACTCAGCCTTCCCTTAACAAATCTTTGCTGACTATCCTTCCTTAACTCTGTCTCTCAGAATTCTTTTGAAGAACTTCTTCACCACTGAGGTTGGACTGACTGACCAATAAATTAGAGTTAGGATTTAGAATGTGAAACATTTAGTACAAGTGGAAAAATAAATTTAGAAGGCAATATTGGGAAAATGAAGTATGACTGAATTTAGTCTGAAATAACTTGCTGGACTTCAGTCTCACCATCAAGTAGCAGGTAAAACATTGCTATTTAAAATGTTACCTGACCACATGTTTAGATTGGAAAATAATTGATAGTTATGGGGGAAATCAAGAAGCCATTTGCCTACACCTGCCTCCTTCGTAAGTGTTTGATACCATTAAAGAAATTTTATCCTTACTTGAAATGTTTTGTAGTTTTAAAAATAGTCCTTGCAACATTTTTTTGCTCAAAGAAACTACCAGTGTATTACCTGGACTAATAGTATAATTTACGTCCTGTACAGGAGACCATTTGTCCACCAAGTCCATAGCAGCGCTTTGTTGAACAATGTGGTCATTCTTGTTTTCCCACTCTGGTTCCATCAACAACTTATCTAATTTCCTTTCAATACCATGATAGTCCCCACTTCCATCACCTTTGTGGGCAGCAGGTTCTTGGGCATCAGTACTCACTGCATAGAAAAGATTCTTGCTCACATTTTCCCCTCTATGTCTGGTACAAATCCTTAAAGCAATAATAACTCAGTTTTTGAATGATTAGCTAATGGAACAAATTCTCCCTGCCTGTTTATTGGAACCTGTTGTAACCTTGGGGCACAGGAGTTTGAGAGCTACAAGGAGAACATGCCAGTTTCTTCCACCTACTCTTATAGTCAAATACCCTCATTCTTGGAACCATTCTGATTAATCTGTCTCTTTAGGAATAGAGGATTGTTCTTAAGTATGGTGACCAGAACTCAGTGCACACTATAAAGCGCTGTAGTAATGTAAATCAGATAGTTTGCAACCTTGGGATCCTATTCAATCTAGAGTTTATGGCTTAGGCAACTGAAGGAAAGGCAAGCCATCAGTTATAATTAAGAATGCACAGAAGGCCAGAATTAAAAGACTGCAGATATCTTAAGGGATGTGGGTTGGAGGGGATAAAGCTGTAGAGGAATACTCATGATGTTGCAACGACTGGGAGTCAATAAGGACTATAGGGAGTGGGGTTTCCTGTGAAATGAGGCAAGATCTGGATAGCAGAGTGTTGGGTTATCTCACGTCTGTGACAGTAAAAGATTAGAAGTAGTTCATCAAATTACAGTTGTGAGAAGACACGGTATCCCTAACACAGGAAGAAACTAGGTCATAAGGGAAATGTTAACAAGGAAATTCATGAGAGAAAGACTATTTTCGCAAGTGGTACAGGCATGTTCACCATCAAGACAATACCTGTAGGAACTGTTTACTACAAATCAGAGCAGTACATATTGGGAAAAGATTAAAGAACAAACCGATATAGTGGTCCAGTAGGGATAACTGACAGAAATAACATTAAAAAGATGCTGTATTACTCATCTATAAGAGAGTCCTTCATAACTTTTAAATTAAAAGGGGGAATTTTACAGAGTAAATTAAGGATATAAATTAGAGAGTGGCACACTGATGTAAGAATGAGACTATTTCAGGATAAAAAAGGTCAAAAGTGATCAAGTGAGACTTGCAAAGCACCTACTGAAAACCATTCAAATTATATACACAGGGAAGAAATTAAATCCCAGAAAAATATTGGTCAAGGGTTGGAAAGTAGGTACATGGTTATAAATGCTAATTTGGAAGTGAATAGGAACCAGTGATAGAAAAGGCAGGCACTATTGTCCAACAAAACAGAGTCAGCTGTAACTTAAAATGCATTTAGACATGCAAGGTCTAGAAGTGTTCCTAATTGCAATTGATTCAAGTCACTTATTTCAGTAATGAGAATAGATTGAAGTAGTTGGGACTGTTCTCCTTAGAGAGAAAAATATGATAGCATTGTTAGGGAGAAACTATGCCCAGTCATAAAAGGATCAAGAACCAGAAGGCACAGATTTAAGGTGATTTGCAAAAAGTGCAAATGTGATGGAAATTGAGGCATTCAAGAGGGTACTGGATGATTATTTGGATGGCAATGTACAAGGATATGGTGAAAAGGCAGGAAATTGGCAGTAGTTAATGAAGAGCTGGTGCAGATTCAGAAACAAACAGGAGCAGGCCATTCAGTAAGATCATGACTGATCATCCAACTCAGTATTCAGTTCCTGTTTTCTCCCCATACCCTTTGATCCCTTTAGCCTTAAGAACTATATCTAACTCCTTCTTGAAAACATACAATGATTGGCTTCATCTGCTTTCTGTAGTAGAGAATTTCACAGGCTCGCCACTCTCCACAGATAAGCAAACAATACTAGAGGGGTGGTTTCACCAAGGCCCCGTATAACCACTGCAACATATCCATGTTCATTACTCAAATCCCTCTCCCTATGCAGGTAAATATACCATTTGCTGCCTTTACCACCTGCATGCTTACTTTCAGTGACTGGCATACAAGAGCACCCAGGTCCAGTTGCACTTCCCCCTTTTCCCCCTACCCTTCAGGTAATTTGCCAATCTGTTTTTCCTACCAAAGTGGATATCTTCATGTATATCCACATTATACTTCATCTGCCACGCATTCAACTAGTCTAAATCACACCAAAGCATCTCTGCATCCTCCTCACAGTTTACCATCCCAGCCAGCTCCATGACATCTATAAATTTAAATTTAGAGATATTCGATTTAGTTCCCTCTTCTAAATTGGCCTTCTTTTGCACTAACACACCTCGTGATCCATAAGGTCCTTTAATCCTGATAAGCTACAAGACTACTCCATCTACAAGTACAAAAGAATGATAATTAATAAGGAAGTTGTTCCGTTGAAAAAAAACACAGAAAATTGCTGGCGAAACTCAGCAGGTCTGGCAGCACCTCTTCATGAAGAATCACTGGACTCAGAACGTTAAGTCTGTTTGCTCCCCATTGTTTCTGTTTTTGTTTCAGTGGTTCAGTTGGTCCACTTTGGGAAATAGTTGAAGTTAATTTTCTTCTGTCTTCACATTCCCTGTGCACCTAATCACTAAATGTTGTGCCTTATTAACCCTTACTATTCCTCTGCAATGATCAGGGGCAACCTGAACTCTTGATTTTCTTACCAATGCAGTAACAACGCAAGGTCACACTCTGATAACCTAGGCAGCGTGCATACAATTTATGATTACTTTCTTAAGAATGGTTGTGTGGAACTGATATCAGTCACACAGCTATCTCCAGACTGGTTCCCTGAGGTGTCACTCATTTATAGGAACAATCGTTTCCCCTACAGCATTTTTCAGTCTACTTACTAAATTTATAATGGTTCGCTATTAAGATAAGCAGACACCACTTAAGTACCTCAGGATCTATTGTGTCACATCCTTTAAAAAATATTATCCTAAATATCAGACTAATGTAAATATTTTGGAGAATTCTAAAACCTGTCAATATATTCTGTTTAGAAGAACTATTTGTTCACATGACATCGCAATGGCTGCTGTTGTTGCTTGGAACTAAAAACTCATTTTATAAAACCTGGAGAACATTACCTTATTACTACATTGAATCTATGCAGCCTAGATTGTCTTAAGAAATCGTTATATAACACTCAGGACAGAATTTATTTCCAGTGTTATGTATACACATTGTTACATACTTTCACTGCGTCTTCTTTGAACCAATTAAGTTCCAAAGCAAAAGCTTCCCAAAACATAACTATCTTGAAAGGTCTTGACAGTTTATAGGAGGTCGTAAAAAGGGAGTTTCTTCCAGCCTTATAATAACATGTGGTCAAACTCATCAGTGACAACATACTGCCATAAAGGACTGTGTGCTATGCCACCAGTACTTTGAATTTCCTACAGCTAACCAGAATATACAAAATACCTCATCTGCCTGTACATTTCACATAATTAAACGACAACAAATTATTGAAAAATAAACTCAATCCTACAGAAGAATGAGCAGTAAAGATTCTGAAATTGAATCTGTTGAGCATTACAATAACAGCTTGTATTCATATAGGAATGCAGAGTACTGAGAGTCCTGGATGGGGTGGATGTGGAGAAGATATTTCCAGATAGGAGAGACCAAGACCAAATAGCACAGCCTCAGAAAGGATGTAAAGAACTGAGATGAGATGGAATTTCTTCAGCCAGAAGGTGGTTAATCATTTCGTAGAAAACTTTGGAGGCTAAGTCATTGAATGTATTTAAGTCAGGTGGAGAGGTTCTTAATTAGTAAAGGAATCAAGGGTTACAGGGAGAAGGCAGGAGAATGGGATTGGAAACACCAGCTATAATCAAATGGCGGAGTAGACTCAAAAGGAGTGAATGCCCTAATTCTGCTCCTGTATCTTATGGTCTGTGGTCTTGTGATACCTTTAACATCAGTTGTCTCCTGGTGCTTCCAAAATTTGACAGGAGTTGAAAGAAAGCGACATTAACTTGGTCAGACGTAAGTTTTAGGGAGTGTCTTAAAGAAGAGAGGTCAAGAGATGTGTAGGGAAGTAATTCCAGAGCTTAGGCCTTGGCTGCTGAAACACACCATTAAATTGCAGAACTATCAAAATAGGGGATACTCATATAACCAGAACTAGAGAGAGAAGGAAAGTACAGAAATATCTACAATGAACGACATCTATGCAGACAGTTTTCTTCCTAATTTTTCATGAAGTGTTTGTATAATTCCAAACACCCATACGTGATGTCCATCACAAATTACAATTGCCAACTGAAATATATCCATTTACTTACCAGTATCTGCTTTCTACAGATCAGTCAACATTCTTTCAATCCATTAACTTTGCAAGATGTCCTGTTCTGTTTTTCAGCAAACGTAAAATTTGCTGGTGTACTGAAACTTCATAAAAAGCAATTAGTCAATTGTAACTTGGCCTTTGCAAATCTAGTCAGTCAGTACCCCAACCCAGGACACATTGGCATGTTTAAAGTTGTACTGTATGAGATGCAATGATATTAAACAATTATTTGGTCTCTTACAGATGTGATAAAGAGGAGACTCACTAGGTTTAGCAAGAGGAGGAAAAAAAGGCCACTGTACAAAAAGAAATCTATTTCACCTTATGATGTTCTTTCAAGTGACAACAGTGACTGATGCTACCAAAGATATTATTTAGCACTACAATTCCATTAGTTGGTCTGATTTCGGCAGTATAGATGTTTACTGCAATTAAGAGGTAGATCTACAAATATGCAAAGCAGAAATGCTGGAAAAAGTGCTGAAGATGACAAAGAAATTTTGTATTTTATTGAACCTTTGTAGCAGTTACTTTGTTTAATCTGTAAATCATGTATTGTCAAATGTAATTACGGAAGACTGTACAGATGATCCTCAGTGCTGTTTCATAACTTTTGTAATCTCACTGTAATATAAAGCACAAATTTACACAGGCACTGCCTGTATATTTGAACTATACCTGATAGACAAATGATAATGCAGTTGACAGCAAACCTCAAATCATATCCTTTCTGAACCTGCAATATGCAAGTTTCCCCTTGATTTGCTTCTGTAATTCATTGATGGCTTTGGGTCTTTCACTTGGAACAAGATTAAACTTTCAAAATTTTACTTCCTAATGCATTATAAAATGAACTACCAAATTGCGTCATCATGTTCAGCGTTTTAAAACTGCTAAAATGTAACTAAACTTACGCAAGATAAAAAGGAACAGGAGAAAATGGGGCAACAGTATAGAGAGAACCTCAAACACCAGCATGATCTGGATTTTGTGGTTAGATAATATCAAATTTTAAGAGCTGGTGAGTCCCACTAAATAGATTAATATAGAATCAATTCCTGCTTGTTTCAATACCTGACAACCTTAAGAACACATTTATTGTAAATAACTTGCTAGGACACAGAAACATTGTTGTCACAACAAGATTTTTTTTTTCTTTCTGTGTGCATGTGTGCCAGTCTTGGCACTCAAAGATTAATGACTGAGCCAGCTGTACCAACCTGGTTTTGTCCAAATTCTTAAAGGAAAAGTATTCAAAAGCTACAAAACTAAACACAATGCTTAAATTCCTGATTTTTTTTTAAAAAGAAATGGAATCATTTTTGCCATAAACTATGACCTCAGTCACTTCCAGGGAATATCATTAGGTTATGAACCAATCATTTAGAAAGGATTGTGATCTCACTTCAGAACTGACGGTTGCATCATTGAGTGTGATGGAGCAACTGGGTCAAATACAGTCATCTAATGAAAATTAAAGTGGTAATCAGAAATTCTGCTGGTCAGATTTTTGTTGTACTTATTTTCACCACCTGCTAAAGCATATCTCCTTGTGCTTTAAAAAACAAACACAAGATCTAATTTTTCTGATATGAAAATCTCCAGAAAACAGGTTTTTCATATCAAGTTCTGCAACTTGGTGTGGGCACACAAGAAAATATCATCACTCCCTTAAAGAATCTCTGGTTGCAAAATAGATTTCTGTTTGTAGAGTGAAAAATTATTTTTGTATGATTGTATGTGAAGGGCTAAATTAAAAGCTCCAGTGGAGAGAGAGTAATCTTATGGGGTTTTAACTACAGGGCAGAATAACAATAGGTGTGTAATCTTATTCATATTTCCAACAAAATGAGTGTAGCATCGTGTGGTAGACAAACCTAATTGGACATGGGATTCACCAAGCACGTTTAAATGATTTGCCAGTTTAACACAGTAGTATCAGACATGATTCATTTTCAGCCATACCCTGGTTCCTCTTGTCCAACAGGTATAAATGGTACAAATCTACGGACAATGAAATGTTTGAAACAAATTCTGCAGTTATACACACATTTGTCAGAAGTAGAAGTCAATTACTGCTGTAAATATAAATGTATAGGAAAGTGGCTCATCATTCAGATCTGCATAGAAATTTTCAATTATTGGGAAGTCTTACGTAAACTATGGTACTTTGGGAGCAATGAGTGTAAAGTTCATGGGATTTCTTGTTGGACGATATGACACATCAAACCAGTTTTCTTAGTGATTGATCTAGAAGTAAAACATTAGTAATTTTTCTGTACGATATATGATTTTCCAGAAATTAAAATTTTAGAGTTTACTTGATCAAATTGTTCTCTTTCCTGACATCTGATCCTAAATTTCTAGACTTCCAGTGCACAAATCTTTGAAATATATCCACTGATTAGCTTCCCCACTTCTCCTATTTGTTCATGGTATTCAGGTTAAGTGAGCATTCAGGTTTTAGGATCTCTATTTTCTAAATGCTACCCGAGTAATGGCTTGAAGAAGTTTGGTTTTGAGAGAACAGAAGAAACTGAAAAGTTAGATACATACAGAAACGTATCTAAGAGATCTCACCTAATGGAACAGAGAGACAACAAAACAAAACAAGGTGGAGAAACTCAGCAGGTCTGGCAGCATCTTTGGAGAAAGAAACAGTTAACATCTCGAGTATGGATGCAGTCTTCAACACAAAAGTTCAGAAGGCAGATATCTACAGTTTCAAAGAAGAGACTTTTAGACAGAGAGCTGTGAACTCAAAGCACATTGATCTCTGAGCCAGAACCATCAATTTTTGATGTCGATAGCCCACAAAGCAGAAGCTTAAATTAAATGGCCGTCTTCAGCAATGCTGCACAGTCATACATTACAGTGGTAGCTGTGCTGCAAAGTTAAAATCTCAGCTCAGAATTGGGTTGAACATTGTTACATTATTTTAAAGACATCTAACAAAAGTGACTGCCTATTATGAAGTTACAGAATTGGAAGGTTCAGGATATCCAGACCCTATGCCAATTAGCTTACGCCAGCTGGAAGGCATTCTATTTTTCCCCACTCCCAATGATCTATCAAAACAAAACTTTTAACTATATTGGGAGACCATTGGGAATTGGAGAGCCCAGAAAAGTATAGTAGTGACAGATAAATGATTAAAATGTACTGGGAATATCTGCATGATTCCAGAAAGTAGCTTATACATGTATAAACTGGGCAATGAATGGAAGTGGTAAGGTGAATCTATTCCTATAAACCACCTCACTACCAATAGACATGCAAGTATAGGATCCTGCTCGTCTTTGACTACGGGTATTGGCTTTGTCTTGGGGGGAAAAGAAATCACATTCTGCATTATTGGAGCATAGGCTACAGGATCCGAGAGAGATTGGTATAAGGCATCACAACACTAAGGGGCTATATTAGTGTATCAGAGGTGAGTGAACTTGACTGCCATTGACATCAAGGTAGCATTTGATTGAAAATTGTCTCAAAGAGCCTTAATAAAATTAAGGTCAATGGGAATAGGGGAGAACTCTCACTGATTGAAGTCATCTAGCACAAAAGGTAGTTTTGGATGTTGGAAGCCAGTCAGCTCCAGGACCTCATTGCAGGATTTCTGCAGAGTAGTGTCCTACAAACTTCAGCCACTTCATTGATGACTTACTCACTATTATGGACATGTTTGTTGATTACAATGTGTTCAGTATCATTCAGGACTCCTCAGAAGGTCCTGTTGCATATGCAACAAGATTGGGCCAAAGACCATTTTCAAACAAGAAAGGATTTTACCATCACCCCATGACTTTCAATTGCATGATCACTGCTGAATCCCCAATCAACATCACCCTAGAATTGACCAGTAACTGAACTGGACCAGCCATATTAATACTATGGCTATACAAGCAGGTGAACAACTGGGAATTCTGCAGTAACTCATGACCTGAATCCCTAAAGCCTGTCCACCATCTACGAAGCACAAGCCAAGAACGTGACGGAATATGTTCAACATTATTTTTAAAAAAGCAGTCAGTTTCCTTTGAACCCTGTCCACCACAAGCACACAGTGGCAGTAGTGTGCACCGTCTAGAAGCTACACTGCAGGAACATGACAAAGTTCCTTTTATCATGCCTTTCAAAGCTGAAATTTCTACCATGTCGAAGGACCAAGGCCGCAGGCACATTGGTTCAGCATCACTCCTTCTCAAGGTGATTAGAGTTGGGAAATAAATGCTGGCCTTTTTAGTGATTCTCACATTTCAAGAGCAAATAGTAGAAGAAACTGCATTGAGACCAAGTCATGCAAAAGCTAAAATGCATTAAACTTTTCAAAATATTGTTCTGTATTAAGAAAAAAAAACACAGGCTTCTGCCATTAAACTAGTGTCAGTTTTTGCTTGGTGGTAGCTATTTTACCCAAGTCAGATGCTTGCAGGTTCAAGGGCAACTCCAGTTCTTAAGTGCCTAACCTAGACTGACAATTATAATCGCAAGAGAATGTTACACTGTTGGAGTCATTGTTTTTCAAATGAGGTGCTAAACCAAGGACCTATTAAACTGTAGAGACAGACATGAGATGACAATAAAATTCTCCGGATGTCTTGGCTAACATTTCTCTCAAATATCAGACAGGCTGTTTATTCTCTTATTGCTGCTTGTGAGATCCTGTACACACATAGGTGGGTGTGTTTACCCTTCTTTTTAAAAAAATGTACTACAGAGGGATGTCGTAAAATGATATTATGCAAGGTTTTCCTATCTTCTATGATATTGTAAGCAGTTTGACTAGGTGAATTAGCCAGATAATGCTGACAAAATAACACTTAAACCAATAACATTCATCATTGCTTTTTTAAAATAATATAACTTCTTGAAGCGAAGAGCAAATGTATAGTAAAATGCAAATATCTAAATGCTGATGTGCAAGTTGTGCCACTTCTCCGCAAGCTTTTCAAAAATTACATTTTTGCTGTCAATGTTACCACTGAAAAACACTAAATTTTGTAATGTTGTTCTACATTAGAAAGTTACGTTGCATCATTTCAAGTGTCAAGTAACCATTTAATGACACAATTGACTTCTCTGCCAGTGAAAGCCATTAGATGTGTGGGGTCTTATTCCTTCAGGTGTTGGAAATTTTAAAACATCAAATTATTTCTTGTAAGAAAATCTTCTTTGATTTTCAGCTTCCATTGCCAGCAACTTTGTGGCCAATAAAAAGTGTCTCCAACTCAAGTGTGCAAGGCCAAATCTACAAAACAGCATTTGCAGTCAGATGCTCTGTTACAGCAAAATCTGGCTGACTGTCACAAGAAAAGGTATTAACAACATATAGTGATCACAGGATCAAATTCACATATGTTGGTTAACATTCAAATTTCAACTCAACATCTAACAAAATTACAAAATCAACTAGCCATGATATAATTAAATAACTCCACTTTAGTAAACATTTAAGTATCTATGTGCCCATTTAAACTATTAGAATCATAGTTCAAGTGTACAATCAAATTCTCAAGTACCTCTTCACAATCCAGAAGTTTTTATTCAGACATTTCTTCATTCCAATAGAGCACTGATCTAAAATTTTAGGTTCTTTACTCAAACCTTCAATATTGTTTCTCAACATAATTACTTAGCCTAATCTAAGATGCATATAGTAATTAACATACATTTAGTAATGCTCCATATTTTAATTAAATGCACTTTTGTTTAAACATTGTTTAACTTATCAAGTTAAGAAATCAGCACTCAACAAGCATTGTGCACAACTGAATATATTTATTTCAATACAAATGTACAATAGATGAGTTTACAAGCCCACCACCACATTTCTACTACCAGCTACAATAGAGTGCATTTCTAAATGGAATTAGTTACAATTAGCATTCATTGCACAACATAAACAATAAGCAGGTCAGTGACTGTCCTTGTTAAATATAACTTTTAGCACTCAACTGTCCAAAAGTGCATGCTTAATACCAATTGTTTGAGATATCAGACATTTGGATTTAAGAAAAAAAAAAATTTTGTACCACACACTGGGGATTAGTCATGGAATATATAAAATGAGAATGGGTTACAAAGCTGGACCCCAGAGGGGTCACTTCAGAAGGCATTCTAAAACTGTGTGGAATACAGTGTATAAATATCTGAACCCAGAGATTAGACTGTAACTGAACTCACTTTAAAGGTATTGATTTCTTTCAAAATACATACAACCTTGTTTTGGTAAATGTAAAATTATACTTTTAAATTGCTGTTGGTAGAGTTCCAGTGCTTCAGAAACATGTGCTGCAACATTACAAGTAGGAATTAACCACCTGCATGATGTTCCTGTATGTTACTTGAAAGTAACTTTAAAGAGATTGTATGGAAACCTGATCCATTGGTATATACTTTTTCATACCATTGTTAAGATGTAATACTGTTTATAAAACAGTCTTACTCGTAAAACATAAATAAATGATCAACATTAACAGCACACATTCCCTTCAGATGCATTCTGCTGTAATCACTGGCCTCGTTTGAATACCTTTTATGGCAATTTGGCTATTACTGCATTGAGAAAAGGTGTTACTTTTTGCAGGATAACAGATTTTTTTTTAAAAACTCAGGTTGTATTTTAGGGTATAACTTACTTAATACATTCTTCATTCCAAGAATACAGATACAAAATTGAATCTGTCTTTCTCTCTGCAATCTTTCCAGTCAACATCCCACCTCACATGCCCTGCAACCCCACCCCACCAATAAAAAATGTCAATTGCAGCATTATAGGAGAGAATTCCAAGGCAGTAATACAGTGAAACAGCTCAGCAAATGTGAAATGGAAACTCTGTACGGTATGTATGTTATTTGTTACTACTTGAACCTACAAATCACATTATTGTTGTTAGCTTGCTTCTTTTATGAAATATAACTTCTCTTAGTGGAAATTTGTACTTTCCTAGTGTTTGCCTGGATTCAGAGCTACTGCAAATCCTTGTAAAGTGATATCAGTGAGTATATTAAATCTCTGCTTTCCTTAGTGAGATAAGGAGTTTTGTTGCATGATTCTAATCTTATCTAAAGGTCACACAGTTATTCATCTGAACAAGAGACCAATTTCACATATCCCTGCAGGCACAGTGCATCAATACTAGACAGGCCAAAGGAAATTAATGAATGACACCAATGAGAAGAAATATATTTAACCTACCTTTCAAGCTACTTTGACTTTGCTAGCTTACAGAGGACATTTTATTTAAAAAAAAAAGATTGCTATTACATCTGCAGGTTCAGCCCAAGTCTGACTCATCTGTACTTCATTACTATCTTAGTCTAGA